TTACTTTCGCTTTTCCCTCACCTTTCTTGATAATACAATTCTAACCCATCTTTACATTTTTCAGACGTATATGGTGGAGGTGGAAAGCATTCGCAGGGCCAACATTTGGGCCAAGATTTTCTTGAAGATGTTGGAGAAATATCGTCGCTACCGCAACAAGTGCCGTAAGATGCATGAGCCACTGAAGGCAAACCCCGGTAATCGGGCTCTTGGTGAGGAGTTGGAGAAAAGGGACCAGGAGTTGATGCAAGCTATCTACAACAAGAGTGTGCTTGAGGAGCAACTTCGAATGAAGGACTAGGAGCTCGAATTGGGCAAGGGAGCCGCCGCAGAATGTGAGCATCTGTAGGAGAGATTGAGGTTAATGCAGTCGGAGATGGATCAGAACTTGATAAAGGTCGAGGCGATAAGCATGGAATGGATGGGGAAATTGACCGCCCTGGAGAACAAGGTTACTAGGTTGGAGAGCATCGAGAGTGCTTGGTCCGCGGCCTTGGAAAATACCATCTGCGTCCTCCAGTTCGAACATGAGTTGGAAAGAGAGATGACTAACCTCATGGAGGCAAGGCTCGAGGAGCGCATTAGCGAGATTGATCAAGAGACATCAGTTCTGGGAGATCGGTTCGCAGTACTGGAAGCAGAAAATGGGCGACTGTTGTCTCAGATCGAATCTTCCTCCACCGTCGTTCCTCACCATATGCACGAGCTTTGGGTTAACGCCGAAGCCTAGTAGGATATATATAAGAGTTTGTGGGAGGCGGGTACTGTGACTGAGGCTGCATATGAAGTAGCGTAAGTGAAAGCGCGGGAGGCTCGCATCAATTACGGGTATGATGCGGTGACGCCTGAAGCTAATGGGGGTGCGGATGGTGATGAGGGAGGACTTCTTGGAGATGGTGATGGAGGCGTTGACGCCGAATAAAGAATGTTGTTTTTGCCTGTTCTTGCTTTCAGCTATTTTTTTAGTTGTTCGTCGTCTGTTGTCGTTGTTTCTTTCCCCTTTCCTTTTCGTTCTCTTTTTTTCCTTAAATTGTTGGCTTGGTCCATATGTAAGTGGCGATAGTCCGCGCAATGACTTTGTATAAAGAAGAGTTTTTTCTTCATTATTTGCCTTATATTTCACCTTTATTTTCACTATTTATGGCTTTGGTGCGAGATAGATGCCTGTATGGCAAGTCCCGATTTTTCTTCCCCTTTATACCTCCTGACGGCTTTTGGCCTTAGAAATATTTCTGGTTTCCTCTTGCGTGATGGCCCCTAACCTCAAAAGGTGTTATTTTGAACTAATCGAAATAGTGACCCGTCAACATCCGATCGAGGTCGAACTTTTCTTTGTCTGGCGAAGGTCCTTGGCTTTAAAGTGTTATTTTGAACTTATCGAAATAGCAACCCATCGTCGTTCGATCGAGGTCGAACTCTTCTCTTTTTCTCGAAGGCCCTTGGCCTTAAAGGGTATTATTTCAAACTTATCAAAATAGCAACCCGTCGTCGTTCGATCGAGGTCGAACTCTTCTCTTTTTTTGCGAAGGCCCTTGGCCTTAAAGGGTGTTATTTTGAACTTATCGAAATAGCAACCCGTCGTCATTCGATCGAGGTCAAACTCTTCTCTTTTTGGCAAAGGCCCTTGGCCTTGAAGGGTATTATTTCGAACTTATCGAATAGCAACCCGTCATCGTTAGATCGAGGTCGAACTCTTCTCTTTTTGGCGAAGACCCTTGGCCTTAAAGGGTGTTATTTCGAACTTATCGAAATAGCAACCCGTCGTTGTTCGATCGAGGTCGAACTCTTCTCTTTTTGACGAAGGCCCTTGGCCTTAAAGGGTGTTATTTCGAACTTATCAAAATAGCAACCCATCATCGTTCGATCGAGGTCGAACTCTTCTCTTTTTGGCGAAGGCCCTTGGCCTTAAAGGGTGTTATTTCGAACTTATCAAAATAGAAACCCGTTGTCATTCGATCGAGGTCGAACTCTTCTCTTTTTGGCGAAGGCCCTTGGCCCTAAAGGGTGTTATTTCGAATTTATCGAAATAACAACCCGTCGTTGTTCGATCGAGGTCGAACTCTTCTCTTTTTGGCAAAGGCCCTTGGCTTTAAATGGTTTTATTTCGAACTTATTGAAATAGCAACCCGTCATCATTCAATCGAGGTCGAACTCTTCTCTTTTTGGCGAAGGCCCTTGGCCTTAAAGGGTATTATTTCGAACTAATCGAAATAGCAACCCGTAGTTGTTCGATCGAAGTCGAACTCTTCTCTTTTTAGTGAAGGCCCTTGGCCTTAAAGTGTGTTATTTCGAACTTATCGAAAGAGCAACCCGTCGTCGTTCGATCAAGGTCGAACTCTTCTCTTTTTGGCGAAGGCCCTTTGCCTTAAAGGGTGTTATTTTGAACTTATCGAAATAGCAACCCGTCGTCGTTCGATCGAGGTCGAACTCTTCTTGTTGGCGAAGGCCCTTGGCCTTAAATGGTGTTATTTAGAACTTACTGAATTAGCAACCCGTCGTTAGTCCCAGTGTTTCGAGAGCTAGATATCTTCTTGGAGAGTCCCAGTCTGTTTGACATTGCTCGCAACGGCGAGTGTAACATCGGAGAATGTGAAACGTTGTTGTTTCGTTTAGGTTTGTTCTGTGCACATATTGTAGTTTCCTTGTCTGAATCTCACCTTCCGGCTTGGAGGTATCACCAGTGGGCGATATCACAGTTGTTTTGCAGTAGTTTTTGTCCATTTCACTAAGGTGTTTCTTTATTCGTTCGCCTGCGCGGCCTTTGTGTCCCTACTTGAGCATGGAGCAGAAGGTGAGTTAGAGTGATCCTTTCCTTGCCCCAGTTCGGTGGTCCGATGGAGGAGAACAGGTTGGTAACGTTATTCGTCTTGTTTGGCATATCGATGGTTGATGAGGCAAAGATTTCTAAGTTTGGTAATTTTGCTCGGCTCTACTCCCCCTACCGCATTGTGCATTTGTATCGCATGGGTTGGGTTTTTCCTTCGCGCTCCTTTTGGTGGGTGATCGTATTTATTGTCTTTGATCTGGGAGAGACTAGGAAATTTTACTGAGAAATCCCCACAGACGGCGTCAAATTGTTTGACTCAAAAGATATCAAAACCTTTTTGAACAAATCAATCAGAGAAGATGAAAGGGTAAATCTTAGTCAGACATAATTAATTTCAGATCAAAGAGCTAGCAGTATGAATCACATACAAGATAAAAGAGATGTAAATGATCTTATTGAAATTTAATATTGTGTCTCCCGTCGATCGATAGGGGGATAGCTTTACATGTTCTTCTATGGATTACTTCCTTCATATCAAGAATACAAGAAGAGAGCTTCAGAGAGAGAAAGGAGGGAGTAGCCCCCTTAATCGAAGGTTTCTCCCTACTATATATAGTTAAGTCATCATTGCCGTTTACTTGGGCCGACGCCCTCTTGCCTCCAATATGTCTTGGTCATCCCTTTAGGCGCTGTTTCTTTCGACTCGATGGATGTTGGGAAAGAGACGCAAAGTGGGCTACGCTATCTTTCAATGCCCAGTCACCTAGGCGGGACGTTGGTTAGTTCAGTCGTGACTGTAAGATTTTGACATACAACTTCCATTTATTGTATCGTTTACTTTATTTGTCTGATTTTATGTGTCACTATGGGTTTGTCCTGATTTTTTTTTTCATATTTGAATTTTTCTTTTACGTCAAGGAAGGATAACAAATCTCTTTTTTTGAAGAAAAAAATTGCGTATCCTTATAACTTGAGGATTCCTCCTTCACACAAAGACAACGTAATATCTTCCATAATATAGTTCTTAAGAGAGATATGTTTAGGGAGAGAGTTTATTCCTTTGACAAGTTTTTTTCTTTTATATTAATAGATTGATTTATGTTAATTGACCAAATCATATTAAAAAATAATATGCCTCTTTTCATAGGCGAATTCAAAATTAAAAATTTATGGGTTTTTACAACGACATCGAGTTATATATACAATATTTAGTGGGTTCACGCTAAAATAATTTTAGATATTAAGTGAGTTTCATAATACAAATACAGGACATTTGATTTATTATCACAAAGGGTTTGCTTTTATTAGCTTTCACATGATGCCTTGTTATAATAATTCTAGCAACTGGTGGGGGTGCGGGGGTGCGGGAGGGGAGGATTTGAGCCCAAAAACGTTCAATCCGTCCAGAGATTAATGGGTTGGGCTGCAAATATTTTAGCTCATGGGTTTATTTGGGCTAAGCCCAAGTTAGCCCATCATTTTTTATAGCTCATTCGGATCCATAAAGTAGCCCAAATACAACCCATGAAGCTCACCAAAAACAACGAAATCTCAACCTAACTTAAGGCTTTTCTAAAAATTTACTTAGTTGCCCATCATAAGTCATGTATCTAAGTTTAAATAATGAGAATCAAGGTTTTAATAGTCGATTTTGGGCTCCTCATTTAAGACTTAATCGAAGATTAAATTTTTTTTTGTTTTATTTATAAGTTGAAGTATTCCAAAATCAATGTCAGATATATCCGATTAATATTGCAAATATGAGTTATTTGAAATAACAAATTTTATCTGAAATTTATTACTATATTATTTGTGCAAGCAAATCTGATCCTCAAACATACACATCAGATATTTATACTTTGAATTTCTCTTTTATTCGTTCAATATTGTTCTAATTAGTTTCATGTCCTAATTTGTTTTGTTATTGATTTCTATTTTTACAATTTAACTCCAGTTTAAAAAGTTATAAAAGCTCATGAAGAGTTGAGTATAATATTAATCCATATGTATTTTTAAGCTAAAAATTTAAAATTAAATATATAATAATTCATCGTCGTATATGGAATGAATAAATAACGAGGAAGGTGTTGGATATAAGATTTGGGTCGTGGGTCGCCTATGTGGACTGACCCGACCCGTTTAAAAAATAAAAAATAAAAAAAGAGATAAAACCAGAGGAGGTTACACGTAGATTTTTAGTCCCAAAAACTACCGCACGTTTTCTTTCGAGAGACGTGAGAACGTGGAGTAGGAGTTATCATCGGTAGTTCTCCCCATCTCCTCTTCTCTAAATACTTCTCTTCAGTATGGAGATTCTGGTGTGCAAAAAATTAAAGAAAGGAAGAACACAGTGAACTTTAGACATTTAGTTTGTGAATAAAAACTCTGTTTCCTGGAGATTCAGAATACGATTTGGGCAATTCTTTTGGTGGTGAGTTTAACGGTTTCCGCTGCATCAATAAGGTACACAATTCGTTGTTCTCTCCCCTCGATTTAATCTAACAATGGTATCAGAGCCACCGTTATTTGTCTGCTAAAGTACTGTTTGCAGCAACATATGTGAAAGATGATATGCTTATATCCTTCCTCTATAAACTTTAATGGATTTGCTGTCAGTAATAATGTTTTGCAGTTTGTTGGTGTTTTATTTGACAGAGTGATCTTTTTTCTATTTTGTTTCAAACATTACTGCTTCAAAGTGTTTGTAAATTTCAATATTAGAGGCTTCTGTCTTTGATGATTGGTCGTAATTCAACAAAATAAAGATAAAGTTAGAAGGTAAAAGGATGAGTAACATTGCCGCTGGGGTTTCCCTGAAGATGCTGCGGCAACTTGTTTGTTTCAAAGGTTAATTGAAGTCCTTTCTTCTATTGATTTGTGATTGGCTGGATTAACCATATAATCCGCCTACAATGTTGCTACTCTTAAGAGGTATTGCAGTGGCAGTGATGATATTTTCCTCTTTAAAGTGGGATAGGATCTTTACTTGTCACAAGGATTCCTTGTTAAGTGATACAGTGTTTTTATATTATGGCAGAGCCTCTGGTTCAATGAAGTTGACCGATTTACTTCACGTGACCAACTAAGATTAGCATATACATTCCTAAAACTGAAGAGTGAATCCAGAAAAATCATTCCATTTAAAAATGTTTAACGACTGTGAGCGTAGGTCACCGGTACAATCTTAAACACTTGTACAATCTTGACCAGATATACTTTCTGTATATTGGATATTGTACTTTCTCAAAAATCTTGTTCAAAATTGGAAAACACAGAAGCAAAATAAGGTTATTTCCAGGTTTGTTTTATAATTAATATACTTTTGTTGACAGTAGATAACTCTTGTTTTATTAAACAGAAAATTTTGGTTAGTCTTAATCCCTTAAATTAATATCCTTCTACTAGTAATTGTGATATGTGTTATCACATTGAATGGTTTTAGCCATTCTAAGTGTTTCCTTTGTCCTATTTCAGATATGGCTGAAGAAGGACAAGTTCGAATTACTCCAAGTGGGAGCTCTCGAAGTCAAGAAGAGGACAACGTAGAAGGGTACGTCACCGCAGGACTTATTTCTATAATGATTCAGACTCGGAGCCTGAAGTCATCAATGTCCCAAGGGCGACACAAAATGAGTTAAGGGATCGAAGGGTTGAACGAAGGGAAAGAGAAAAGAAATTTAGGGAGTTTAAGGAATTTAAAATGAGCCCTGATGTTTCCGTTCCTGATCATGTACACCTCTTTAAGATAAAAAAAAGTTGAATTGGCTAATTACGAAAAAATTACTGATTGGGAAGCATTAACTATTTTAGCGGACTCTCTTCGAGAGCCTTGGGGTGAAATTTTAACTGAGATTTATCATGATCTTTCGCCTAATGCACCTTTTAGCGTATATGAGTAAGAGTTAGTGTTCGATTGATATATGGATGTCCTAGCAAACATGTAAATTGTTATTATGTGTTCTATTTTAATGAAATTTTATATTATGTTTTTTTGTCTCACTAGTTACATACATTGTTTATTATATCCTTTCGTAATGGATTGAGACTTAAAATATGTGCACACTAAGAAGTGATCTTAATATTAATTAAAAATATTTGGATATAGATGATGAATGAAAACGTAGTGACCGTTCGATTCTATACTAAATGTAGAATTAATATTATAATTAATTTTCTTGAGTGTGTAATCACATGCATAAATTAACTGAAGTATATATTGATGAGCTAAACTTGTAATATTGTCTCTAATAACAGACATGACATCAAAAAGTATCATTGCTGACTTGAACAAGGGTGACAAACTGAATAGTGAAAATTACGATATCTGGAGGTGTAAGATGTGGTATGTACTCGAAGAGCAAGATGCTCTTAAACGTATTAACCATGTTATGAGTCATCCAGAGGAGGGTAACATTGCCCAACACAGGAGGGATTTGGAAACTTACAATGTTTGGAAAAAGAAAGATTCCACTGCACGTGAAATTATTGCAAGTTCAGTTGCTGATGATCTCATCCACGAATGTGAGCAATATCCTACTGCTCAAGCCATGTGGGCACATTTAAGAGAGGCATATGGGGGTACTCGCCTATGACAACTGACAATCAAGTTTGACACGTATAAAAAGTGTTATGATCACGGTGTCAAGCAACATCTAAGGGTGATGTCAAATATGATTGCTTAACTCAAAAGTGCTGGCCATGTTCTCTCTGATGAGCAGCAAGTTCAGGCTGTGATTTAGTCTCTTCCCAATAATTGGGAACATTTGAAGGTTAACTTGACCTACAATGATAACATCAAAACTTTTGCTGATATTGCCCGTCATGTGGAGCTTGAATACGAGCGACTTGGCGCTGCTAAAGCTGTACCTAATGTCTTTATGGCAGAATCAAGTGATACAAAGAGATCAAGCTTCAAGTGCAAGAGAAACTGAAAAAATGACGGAAAGGGTAAGGAGACCGGAGAAGGACCCTCCAAGAAAAGAAACAAGCCAAATTCCAAGAAAGGAAAATGGTTCTACAAGAAGAAAGACAAGAGCAAGATGAAGTGTTACAATTGCCAAGTCCCAGGGCATTTTGCTCGTGAGTGCACTGAGCCAAAAAAGGTAGCATTTCAAAGCGCATCTCTTAGTGCTATTTATGTTTCTAGCATTGTTTACCAACTGAATCTTATCCTATATGGATTGTAGACTCAGGGGCCATCGACCATGTGAGCCGCGATAGAGAAGCGTTTATAGAGTTTCGTCAAGTTCCACCTGGATCAAAGCATGTATATGTGGGAAATAATGCTAAGCTTGAAGTCAAAGGGATAGGCACTTGCAGATTGGACATACGTGGTGGCCGATCTTTGATGTTGCATGACGTCCTATATGTTCTAGAGATTCGATGAAACTTAGTATCTGTGTCTGTTCTTCTAGATTTAGATTTCAATTTGAACTTTAGTTGCAGTGGTCTTAAAATTACTCAAGACAATGTTTTTTATGGTTTGGGACATCGTCATGATGGTTTTATTGTGTTAGATTGTAATCCTTCTATGTATAACTATTATGTTGACCGTTGTGCTATAGCATTATTTTAGTAACAATGATATTGATGTTATTATATGGCATGCAAGATTAGGTCACATAGGACATGATCGAATGAATAGATTGGCTAAGGAAGGACATCTAAGTCCTTTCTCTAAAATTGAAATGCCAACTTGTAAAAATTATCTTGCCAGAAAGATTACACGTAAACTATTTGGAAAGGCTAAGAGAGCTCATTTTCTATTGCAATTTATCCATTCTGATATCTGTGGTCCAATGAATGTGAGGGCTAGGTCTGGTGCTTTATATTTCATTACGTTCATTGATGATTTCACACACTTTGGTTATGTCTATCTGATCTCTCATAAATCTGAAGCACTTGAATGCTTTAAGAAATATGTGAATGAAGTTGAGAATCAATTAGACAAAAGGATTAAGACCTTAAGAACCGATAGAGGGCATGAATATCTTTCAAAAGAATTTGAAGGATTGTGCAATGAAAAGGAATCACCAGACAGTTAACTATTCCATACACACCTCAACAAAATGGTGTAGCAGAAAAGAGGAATAGAACACTACTAGACATGATAAGGTCCATGATAGCGCAAGCAAATTTACCTATATCCTTTTGGGGAGATGCGTTATTGACTGCAACTTATATATTGAACAAAGTGACTTCTAAATCAGTTTCTTCCACTTCTTATGAGCTATGGACTGGTCATAAACCAAACTTAAAGAATTTACGACCTTGGGGTTGTGCTGCATATGTAAAAGATTCTTTTAGCAAGTTTGGTAAATTAGGTCCAAAAGGCAAGAAATGTATCTTTATAAGATATTCAGAACACTCCAAAGGGTATGTGTTCATTGGTGAATTAGAGGATTAAAGTGTTACTGAGATTGAATCGCGAGATGTCACTTTTTTGGAAAATGATTTTCCAAAGAAGGGCGAGGTAAAGAATGGAGAGCCTCTTTATGAAATGTTGAACTCAGATAGTCAGAAAGTGTCTTCTGACACAGTTGATAATCAAATTGATCAAGATCTTATTCTCGATCCGAGTGGGAGTGGGAGTGGGAACTCTCAATCCCGAAATCCTTCTGACGAAACTGAATTTCAACTACGAAAGAGTGCCAGGAAAAATATACCCAAATGTACTTATGAAATTGAAGATTATATTTTCTTGGTATCTCCCATAGAAATAGATGAGCCAAAGTCTGTGACTGAGGCTTTATCGAGCCCTGGAAAAGATGAGAAAAGAAGAATTAGAGTCCATGAAAACCAACGAAGTCTGGGATCTAGTTTATCTTCCGCCTGGGCGTAGAGCCATTAGGAACAAATGGGTTCTCAAAGTTAAACACAAAGCGGACGGGTCAATAGAAAGATACAAGGCACGATTGGTGGCAAAAGGCTTTATTCAAGAAGCTGGAATAGATTATGAGGAAACATTTTCACCAGTTGTGAAGTTTACCTCAATTTGCTTACTTTTGGCTATTGTTGCACGTTTGGATTTAGAATTACATCAAATGGACGTGAAGACAACTTTTCTCAATGGAGAACTGAACGAAGAAATCTACATGGAACATCCTGTAGGCTTCATCGTTAAAGGCCAAGAAAAGAAGGTCTGTAAATTGAAAAGATCTATTTATGGCCTGAAGCAATCTTCAAGGCAATGGTATTTGATATTTCCCAAGGAGGTGATCTCATATTATTTCACCATGGTCAATGAAGACCATTGCATTTATGTGAAGAAGTCCAATGGGATGTTTGTAATTATTTCTCTTTATGTGGACAATATTTTATTGGCCGGAAATAATTTGGAATATTTGAAAACTATCAAGTCATGGATTTCAAAGTCATTTGACATGAAAGATATGGGCGAAGCAGACTATATCCTTGGAGTTAAGATCCAAAGAGACCGTTCCAAAAGGTTAGAGTCTATCTCAAGAAACTTATATAAAGAAAATTTTGGAGCGTTTTCGCATGAATGGTTGCAAATCCATGGATACTCCTATAGCGAGAGGTGAAACATTTAAGCCTTGAAATGTATCCCAAGACTGAAAATGAAAAGGAAGACATGTCTCGAGTTCTATATTCAAGTGCTGTCGGGAGCTTGATGTACGCTATGATGTGTACTCGCCCAGACATTTGTTATGTCGTAGGTCGGGTTAACAGGTATTAATCCAATCCTGGAAGAGATCATTGGAAAGTTGTGAAGAGAAGTTTCAGATACCTAAAGGGAACTGCAGATTATTCACTATGTTATAGTGGAAATGATTTATACTTGAGAGGATATACAGATGCTGATTGTACTGGTGATCGAAATGATAGAAAGTCAACATCCGGTTATGCCTTCTTACTTAATGGTGGTGCTATATCATGGAAAAGTAAGAAACAAACCTGTACAGCCCTTTCAACAATGGAAGCTGAGTTCATGGCTTGTGCGTCTGCAGTACAAGAATGTCACGACCCTAAATACCGGTCGTGATGGCGCCTATCATATTACTAGGCAAGCCAGACCAATTATAAACCACAACCCATTTTCATTTTTGATAAATTATTTGCTAACACGGTTTAATTACCAATTATCATAATAAGTGTTTAAAACAGCAAAGTAGATTTGCGGAAGTCAACAAGACATAGAAACTACACAGCCCATACTGATCTGGTGTCACAAGTCTAGAGCCTCTAATACAAGTCTGAACAACCTACTACATAGATAGTCTAGGAATGCAGAAAAGTAATAAGATAGAAGGGAGAAAGCAGGGTTGCGGATGCAATGCATCTACCTCGAAATCCCTAGCAATTGTTGACCAACTGAAAAACTCTCACTCGGCCTCTGGGGCACCTGAATTTGCACGCAAGGTGCAGGAAGTAATGTGAGTACTCCGGCCAGTGAGTAATAAAGATAAATAATGACTGAAAGTAAGAAAACACGTATACACAGGGTATTCTATAATGAAGCAATTAAATAGGTAATTTGTAAGCAGTAAACCAATGAAAAGCAAAATAAAGTACTTCTACAACAAATAAACAGGTAACTGGCAGACAGTTATGATAAAGTAAACACATAAAAGTTCTCTCCTCGGGCACAATATCAATAATTTTCGCCCCTCGGGCTCAATCTCACATCACAATGGGTACCCGCGCTCACTGGGGGTGTGCAAACTCTGGGAGGGGCCCTTTACAGCCCAAGTGCAATATCAAGCCATCTCGTGACATCAAATCTAGGCCCTCGACCTCATATCAATCAAGCCACCTCGTGGCGTATATATGTATTTGAGGCCCTCGGCCTCATATCAGTATCAGTGTTCCTCACAATATATGCCATCGGCCTTACTCAGTCCAAAAAATTATCACAAGCCCCTCGGGCTATAGTAAAACAGTGTTTTCAGCCCAAACATCATTTAAATATCATTTAAGTCTTGAAAACTGAGAAAGAATGGATGAATAGTAAAAACAATGGAAAAATA